TGAATATTGCCTTTTACCCCAACTTATTTCACTTCTTCTTGTTATTATGATTTTTACTTCTTTTTGACTATAAAACTTTTATTTATTTTATTTTAACCCCTTTTTGGTATTCTTTATTTATTTTTTTTTTTTTGTTTCCTCTCTCATTGTTACTTTTTTTTTTTTTCACTTTTAACCCGATATCAGATCAGTTCGAGTGAGTGGGAGTACATATTTTGTTATTATATGGCTCTCTCTCTCTCTCTATCTCTTTCCCTCTGTTTCGTTAATTTTGTTTTTGTTTCTTTTTTTTTTTCCGTTAGACCCCACTACCATCTGATATGTGTTTTCCTTTTGAGTTCATGAGTATATAATTTTCTAAAAGATTGTTTTTTTTTCCCCCTCACTTCTTGACAAGTGGCACACTGATTCTATACAATAATAATAATAACAATAATAATATCCGTAGAACTATATAAGTATATATATGTATATGTATATATATAAGTAGATCGTTGTATCTTTCCCTCTCTCAGTGAGTCTATCTATCTATATATATATATATGTATATATAGGTACTATCTGTCCACTGTGAATGTGGATTGGGTTTATTTCCTCCTTTTTTTTACCGTAATGTATATCTCCTTCTCTGTTTTTATTTATTTTGGATGGTTGTTATTATGAGATTGCCATTATAATGATATGTTTTTTTTTTTTCGTTTCTTCTCTCTTCTTTTCTCTTCAATCCTTTACTTTATAGGGTTTGCGGCATCCACATTAGACTTTGCTGGGTACATTGAAAAAAAGAATAAAAAAGGTGGTCGATCTATTGGGAAATAGTATCATTGACAGTNNTTATGTCTAATTGGGATAGTTTTCTCTGGAGCTATGTGTATAACACGTCCGCTAGTGACGAAGTGCCCTCGCCTGTTCCTGATTTAAGCAGCGTTGTGAATTCCGATTATGAAATAAACATTACCCCTTCCGACAGCATTGATGAGAATAATGAGAATAATGACAACAGTGATAATAGTGTTAATACTAGCTCAAAATATTCGTATAATGATATTTCTAGTACGAAGGCTACTTATCGTTCTATAAAAGGTGAAGGTCAGAAAAATGCTCATCTTAACACTCGATTCTCTACTTTTTATGGCCTGCAGCAGCTCCCTGTACTTCAACCCTCACAACAATTAAAAGAAGAGAAAGAAGAAGAAGAAGATAATAATGATGATAACAATGACTATAATAATAATAATAATAATAATAATAATAATAATGAAAATGATGAAAACGATGAAAATAACAGTAATGATGATGATGATAATAATAATACGAATAGCAGCAGTAATGAAGATGAGGAAGAAGAAGAGGAAGATGAAGATGAGAATGAGATTGGTAATACGGCCAGTATGAACAGTGGAAATAACAACAGTAATAGTAGTCGAGTCTCTATCACTATTCACCGACATCACATCATTGGAGAAGATGGACAACGGATTGTACGCCGAGCCATCACACTTCAACCACGTGAGGGATTACGGGTGGAGATACCAGAAGAAAACATTGAGGAATATCATCGTGAACTGAATGCCATACTTCATCAAAACCCAAATGATGAGAGAAGTCAGGATAGTAATAGTAATAATAATAATAATAATA